CACACACACACTCACTCAAACACTCTCACACACACACACACTCAAACACTCACACACACACTCACTCAAACACACACACACACACACTCACTCAAACACACTCACTCAAACACACTCACACTCAGCCACACACACTATCTCACACACACACACACAGCAGGTGGTTTCATGTCTTTTAATTGGATTAGTTGGTTTCACTCAATATTACAACATGACTAGTCTCAGTTCAGCAGTACACAGTCATGATATGAAGTCTAGGATGTGGCTACATGTTCCTCTTAATACTCAGAGACTTCATGTTCAGCTGACTCCTTTTGGTTTTGATGAAACAAGGCTACAAAGTAATGTTCTGATGGCTTTAAATGACTAAAACGCTTCAGTGTAACGCTCAGTATGATAAAACACCAACATCATGAGGAAAATAAATGATCTTCAACACAAATCCAGTTGGCAGCAGCAAGAACTTGTTACTATAAAAATCTAATTAAAAAATCATAATTAACAGGTGAACATTTCAGTACATCATACATAAAAATAGCTTTTAGAGTAAAAAAAATCTAATCAAATTCAGAGCATCAAAGAGAACGATGATGATGATGAAGATATGTTATTGGCAGACTTTGAGAACATGATATAAGGTGAAAGTTCAAAGGTCGTTTAGCATCTGGATGATCTTCTGTCTTCATATGAGTCGCTATGTTTCTGGATTCTCATTCGAGTCCTTCATTAATCCGGTTAGTGTTTGATGATGTTGGCGTTAATATTCATCTGGTTTAATTAGAGGTAATACTGACCCGTGTTGATGAATCTCACAAGAACACGTCCAGCTCATATTTCACACCAAAAATTAATTTAACTTCGCTTTGAGTAATTATTATTATTTTTTTGTATTTGTGACATTTAATGAGAATTAAACATTCAAACGCAAATTCGCATTCCTGTAAAAATCTTTTTTTTTTTAATAAAAATATATATTACTGTAATACATCAGGGCATTTTACTTTTTATGTTCAATATTAATATTAATGAACAATATTTATGCTCAATTATGATTCTCAGCCTCAATTCTGTAAGTCATTTTTACAGTAAAAATAAATGTAACACAAAAAACAGTTAACAAAAATTTTCCCCAAATCAGTAAATCACAATTTCTTTTTCATGAAATGTCACAAATGTCAAAAACAAAAAAAAGCTCAATGGACTTGATTGTTTTGATTTCGGGGTGAAATACGCGCCGCTCGAGTTCTTCACAGGTTCAGCGAGGGTTCGTAGTGTTTAAGTTCACATGGCTTCATCACAAACATGCAGCGTATATAAACAATACAAAATCATTATCATACAGCGGGATAAATTAGTGGTATAAATATTATGTACATGCTCTTTTTATACACTGGCTAGTGGTATAAAGCGAGGAAACATGCGTCCTGATGAGGACTTCTGATCGGGGAGGTCACACAGTTTTGGCTCCAAACAAACACAATGACCAGCATTGAACCGTTTGACCCCTGACCTCCGACCGAGAGCCTCGGAGCAGCTGATGGTCTTCTGCAGTAAACATACGCCTTCAGGTCAGCCGTGACTTTAACACCCATTCACATTGAGGGTTAACACGGTAAACGTCTAGTAGATGTGCGTCTGGATCCAGGCAGCGCTCGCCTAGAGAAAACAAGACTTCAGATTAATACATGCTGTCCGATTAAACGAAACATGGGTTTTAATATTCAGTCAATAATCAGACAATCAATATTCAGCTGAAATCAAATTTGTTTTATAATTGATTTAAAGTAACAATTATGAGATGAAAAGTTGAAATTATGACAAAAATTGAAATTATGACGTTAAAAGTCACAATTATTACATAAAGTCAAAATTATGACAAAAAGTTGACATTTAAAAAAAACTCAAAAAATGACTATCTTGCTTTTTTTTTTATAATTTTGACTTCGCATGTCAATTTCTACTTTAAATGTCAATTATGACTGAAGCCATATTTTTGACTTAATGTCATAATTTCAATTTTTAGGCATAATTTTGACTTAGCATGTCAATTTCGACTTTTAAAGTAATATTTTTGATGTAATATGTCAGTTTCTACATTTTATGTCAATTATTTTGACTTTGTATGTCATAAATTCAACATATGTCATTTCAACTTTTAAAGTAATAATCACGACTTTTAAACTCATATTTTCAATTTTTCACACTCTCTATCGTTAAAGCAGACGTCTGCTCTTCATTTTTCTTTACTAAAATAACTAAATGTTGATAAAAACTAGACATTTAAAAATCTATAATAAAAATGACAAAATAAAAAAAAATGATTAAAACTTTAAAATTAAAGTGAAAACAAAAAAATTGCGAAATAAAAACTACCTGTAAAATAACACTGGTTCACTGTTTTTCTTTTATTACCAGGGTTTTAAAATTACTTTTTACTCACAAATAGCAATTATACATACATATATATATATAAATTGTTAACGTTGAACTCACCGATGTTTCCTCCGATCTCGAACAGATACTGTCTCTGTCTTCGAGCGCCGCTGCGTGACCCGCGCCTGTAATCGGCATTCATCGGTTAACATCGGTTCAGTCACGTGACCGCTGCGTGCGTGCGTGCGTGCGTGCGTGCGTTCACTCACCCAAAATCGACGCGTTTCAGAAAGGCGGGGCATAGAGGAGAAACAATAATGTACAGTATGTGGAAAATAATGTGTTTTTTTAACTTTAAACCGCATAAACACATTTCATTACACCAAATACACCAAATAATGTTCTTTTTAGCAGCATCATATGACCCCTTTAACATCGGTTCAGTCACGTGACCGCTGCGTGCGTGCGTGCGTTCACTCACCCGTTCTCGATGTCGAAGCGCGCGGTTATGTCGCTGGCCTTCATCTCGGCGTTCAGCTGAATCGCCATGGAAACCTTGGCGTGGAGCGGCGCGTGAACTCTGATGACGCCGTCACGAAGGTCCGTGACCTGAGGAAAACAGACAGTTAATTAGTTCCAGTAATCACCGGGACTTTTCACCGTTTGTATCAGTCCGCGGACGGTGTGCGTTTGAACAGGGACGCCATTGTTACGCCAGGAGGTGGCGCCAAATCTTAAAGAATGACTCAATAAACCGATTCACTCGGAAACTAGGAACTAAACAAGGTATTGAAATTATTCACGCTATTATTTTATTTAATTATTGTATAGTTATTTGAATTCCACCTCAACCGTCGAGCAACGCGAAACGCTGGATCAAATTACGCGCCACTTCACCGCGCCTGATGTTTAAATCTTTTTAACCGTTGGACGGATGAAACGACAAAGATATTTCCTCAGCGAACATCGTGAAGTGATTTTAACCGCGAATGTTTGATTTGACCTGGAGAATACGCTCGATAGACACAGGTAACAGCACACACACTCTCTACTCAGTGATACTCTTAATACTGTAATAACTTACCTCAAGAAGCCCAAGGCGTCGTTACTGCTTATTATGTAAAGTGAGCTGAAGTGAATTAGCAACATTTGTTAATCTCTTTAGCGGCTGTTTACACGCGTTTTTCATTCACAGCGCTGCTTGTCCGTTGTTTTTCTATGTAAACGCGCTAGACGGACGTGTTTGCACTTTTAAGAAACGTGTATGGAGACCTTGTTCTTTTCCCCATGGTACTTCCATGGAAACGCGTTCTGTGT